TTGCCTGGGAGCCGCAATCCCAAAGAGCCCCGCTCAGCCTGGGGGGCAGCCAGGGCTGGAGGGGGTGGGGACACCCGTGTCCCCCCCAGCCCCACAAGGCCACCCCTAACCAAGCCTTTGCTCTCCTCCTGCAGCCCGTCCAGGCCGGCGGTGTCCAATGTGGGGAGGTAAGTCTGGGAGTTGGGGGGCACCTAATGTGGGAAGTCGGGGGCACTTTGAGTCCCCCATCCCTTCCTGGCACTGGGGACACCCCAGTGACCAGTGATGTCTCCTTGTCTCTCTACAGGGAGGTGTGATCGGCGGCCCGGTGGGTACCAGGGTTTGTGCTGGGCCCAGACCCTCCCCTCTGGTGGCCACCACCCTCCAGGGCATTCCAGTGCTCCCCAGTCCACCCCAGTGTGCACCAGGGAGGTCCTTCCTCAGGGCCCCCACTCTATTCCCACACACCCCAGTCCACCCCACCACACACAGACAGGCCATCATTCCCACACCATTTCTTCCCCTTTCTCCTCTAATCCTTCCCCTTTCCCATTGCCCACGACACTCGTGTCCAGAAATCCCATTCCTTGACCCCTCAGTCCTAAACTCCCTCCCAATCCCTTCCAGTTTTTTCCCCTTCCCCATTTCCCCTGCCCCCACCCCTGCCCTGCTTCATTCCCTGTTTCCCCTCCACTGGAATCCCTTCCTCCTCACCCACATTTCCCACAGTCCCATCCCTTCCACACTCCAATGTCCATCCTCTGGGATCCCCAATTCCCCCCACTTCACCCTCTTTGGGTCCCCTCCTCCTCCCCCCACCCTCCCTGCAGGCCCTGAATTCCCCTGGCTCTCCTTGTCTCCATCCCCACCCTGGGCCCTGCAGGAACAGGGATCCCAGGGGAAACTGGGTGCAGTGGGGCTGGGGGAGCAGAAGGGATTTTCCCCCTCAGATCGGGGCCAAGCATGGACTGGGGGGTCTGGGGACACCCATTTCCCTCCCTCAGCCCCACAGGGGCCAATCCTGCTTAAACCTTTGCTCTCCTTCCCCAGCCAATCGCGGGACAAGGAGGAGGTGGATGTGTTGGGGTAAGTCCTGGAGCTGGGATGTCCCCAGTGTGGGAAATGGAGGGAAATGAAGTCCTCCATCCCTCCTGGGCCTGGGGACACCCCAGTGACCAGTGACACCTCATGCTCTCTCTCCAGGGAGGCATGGATGTCCATCGAGTGAAGAGGTCTGAGGTGGGTACCCCAAGTTCTACTGGGCCCAGACCCTCCCCTCTCATGACCACGGCCCTCCCCGGCATCACAGTGTGTCCCAGTCCATCCCAGTGTGTCCCAGTCCATCCCAGTGTGTCCCAGTACAGCCCACTGTGTCCCAGTACATCCCAGTAGACCTCAGTACAGCCCAGTGGGCCCCAGTCCCCCCCAGTGTGTCCCAGTCAATCCCAGTGTGTCCCAATACAGCCCAGTGTGTCCCAGTACATCCCAGTGTGTCCCAGTCCAGCCCAGTGTGTCCCAGTTCACCCCAGTGTATCTCTAACCCTGCCTTTGTCTCCAGCCCCCTGTGGCTGACCAGGTGGAGCTACAGCGCCAGTGACGCTCGGCTGCCTCTCTGCGTGTCCAGGTGAGAAATATCAGAGGGTCCTCAGCCCCCCAAAAGAACCTGGCAGGGCCCTGGGGAGTCCCTGAGCCCTCTGCAGTGGGCAGAGCTTGGGGACAGCAGAGGGACACGCAGGGGGCTGTCCCTGCTCCGTGTCCCGGGGCAGCTGGACAGAGCTGCCCCAAAGCCTTGCTTTGTACTGGGGGCTCTGCAGACCCCCAGGGTCACCGGGAGGGCAGGGAGGGGCTCGGGGAGGTGTCAGAGCATCCCGGGCTCAGGGGCTCTGGGGCCACATGGATCTCAGCATCCAATTCCCTTCTCCTGCCCAGCTCCCTGCAGACAGACGGGGTGGGGACAAGGCCCCTGCCATGTCCCTGTGGACACCGGGGGTGACATTTGGGGCTCTGTCTTTCAGGACTGGAAGTGGTGGTGACACCCGTGTCCTGTCCCCCTCCAGCGGCATGAGGAGATGATCATCCCTGGAGGACCCCCCTGACCACCTGGGTGCCCTGGCAATTTCCCTGCAAGAATCAATAAACCCCTGCAGCAAAACAAATGCTCTGTGACTGTCTGTGTGTGTGTGTTCCCACATCCACGGGTGCGTTCCCGTGTCCATGTGTGTTCCCATGTCCCCTGGGGCACCTGGTGGTTTGGGGGCACAGTGGGAAACAGGGTCTGACTGGGGCTGTCCAAGCTCCATCCCCAAGGAGCACAACTTGGTGTCAGGACAGGGGAGGGTCAGGGACAATCAGCCAAGGCCCCTCAGTCCTTCCCTGGGCTCTGGGAGGGATGGGAAAGGGGATCAAAGGAGCCAGGGGGTATCAAATGCCCCCAGATCTCAAGGGACAGACTCGGGGCTGAAGGGATGGAGAGCAGCCCTGCATCCAAGGCCATGGGGATAGTGGGGGATGAAAAGCAGGATGGGAGCCAGCAATGGGAGCTCACAGCCCACAACCCCCCCGTGTCCTGGGCTCATCCCAGAGCGTGGGCAGCAGGGGAGGGGGTTTCTGCCCCTCTGCTCCGCTCAGCTGAGACCCCTCCTGCAGTGCTGCCTCCAGCTCTGGGCTCCTCTGGTTGTCTGCAACGCACCCGCCCACAATGGCAATGGCTTGGGGGGATTCCCCTGCCAGCCCTGGTATCTCCTGCAGCTCCATGGGCTCCTCAGCACAGCAAAGACACGGACCTCTTGGGGTACTTCCAGAGGAGGCCACCCAGGGGATCACAGGGCTGCAGCACCTCTCTGATGGAGACAGGCTGAGAGAGTGGGGGCTCTTAAGCCTGCAGAAGAAAAGGCTGTGGGGAGACCTCCCTGGGACCTTCCAGTACTTCAAGGCAGCTTCTTAGAGACATGTGGGCAAAGGGTTCAGTAGGGCCTGTCACAATAGGACAGGGGGTGAGGGGGTTAAACTAAAAAAGGGTAAGTTCGGACTAGAGATAAGGAAGAAATATTTTATAGTGAGAAAGCTGAAACACTGGAACACATTTTCAGGGAGGTGGTGGATGCCCCATCCCTGCAAACATTCCAGGTCAGCTTGGATGGGGCTCTGAATAAGGTGATCTAGGAAAGATGTCTCTGCTCCCCCTCCAGGGGATCCCCTGCCCTGTGCTCTTGGCTACCACAGTGATGGGCAGCTCTCAAAGGATTCAAGTGCCCAGAGAGCAGAGGGAACACACAGGACCTCTGTTAGCAGGGACATCTTCAGGTGAGATGGGAATAGTTTGGATCAACATGCTCAGGCTCCCCTGTTTTGCCTCTCTGTAGTTGTACACAACGTTTGGAAGAGACTGAGAACCACGAGGTCCCACAGTGTCACAGGGTCCCCTTGGTGACAGGAGGTCATGAAGTGTCCCATGGACTTGTGGGGGTAGATTTTTTGGAGGTGTTCTCTGACCCAATCTTTCTTGAGCAAGGGAAGGTCTTCCAACATTCCTATATCCTGGTCTCCTGGGCCAGAGATCCCTGGGGGCTGGTCTTGTCAGTGCAAAGGTGTTCAGTAACTCTGCATTCGCTGCATCCTTGCCATGAGCAGAGCGGCTCAGGGGGCTCCTGGGGGGTCTCTGCACACGAGATCCCCCTCACACTCTTAAGGCAACTTCCCAGGTTCCCCATTCCCAAGACTCCCTGGCAGTCACTCTCCCACCAGCCCAGACCGGCACTTGTTGAGGACCAGGAATCGGAATGGGAATGATTCCGGAAATGGAAAAATATGTACAGCGATTGAATGGACTTCACACATTGTGTGTTTCCCCCGAATTTGTATCTTCCGGGCATGTCCCGGCTTGCTCACCTCCCTGCACCTCTGTCTTCTCTGCTGACTGGCTGGAGAAGCTGCGGCAGGAGACAGCCCCCATTCGCCCTTTCCTCCCCTGGTCCCTCCTGCGCTCCCCCCCCCTTTTTGCCCACGGCTCAATCCTGGTTTCTCCCCCTGTCTGTCTGTCTCCTGCTCCACCCTATGTTCTGGCCCTTTCCCTCCGGATAAAAACCCCGTGTGCACGCTGGATTAAAGATTCTACCTGCACCCCACCTTTGTGTCTGGGATCTGTACCGTGTCGCGGCCCCATTCCCCTCCCCCGCTCGGACCGCGGCAGGGGGTCTTTTCTAAATGAGTCTGGGGGCGTACTTCATTCCCCTCCTCTTCACTTTCTTCTTCAAATGCCCTTGGAAGGCCATCAACCAATAATAAGACACCAATTAATTGTAGTTTGTACAAAACACCTCCTTCAAGGACCAAGTTCCCGTTTCTCAGTGCTTGTTTCCTCCTAACTTGGCAGGAAAAGGAGAGACTCTCCCAGGTGGTTCTGCCAAACACAGACCAAAAGTATCAACATCTAATACAACCCTGATACACCCGCAAAGAAAAAGGGAAATTTCTTCAGCCTGCTTGTGGTCCATTGTAGCGTCCCTCCCCTGAGAAAGCTGGTGCAGAACCTCTGGGCCTTCACTTGGTGTTGTCATTGGGACAAAGTGGGACAAGATGTGTTTGAAAGTTTCTTCCTGCCCTGCTGTTTGCTGCCCGTTGGCTGGTGGAGCAGCAGAGCAGAAAGTCACTGTTGGCATCTGGCAAAGCAGCAGGTGAGAGCAGTTGTGAGGGGGAGGGGGGTGAAGTGTCTGCTCTTCAAGAGGGACAAGACAAAGGAGTTGGGGAATTGTCCTGGAACTCTGGCATGGAAGGCTTGGAGCGCTGGGTGGGTATTTCTTGAGAGCTGAGGTGGCCCCCGCCTGCTTGGGCTAGGATACCACTTCCTCCTGAGCCTCATTTGATGGCAGTGTGTCCAGAGGCAGCCCGGTTCCAGGCTGAAGCAAAAAGCCAGAGCGGGTGATGCGGGAGCTGCTCCAGCACTTACCGCAGCCTCCGGCCCAGTGGGAGCAGCCCGGGCCCTGCCCCGGGGCGCCCTGAGGCGGGCAGTGCCCACTCCCGCCGGCCGCCCTCACAAGGCCCAGGCCGCCTCCTTCCCACAAGGCCCAGCAGGGCCGCCCTCACACCTGCCCCGCCCTGCCCTGTCCCGCCCGGCCCCACCCTGCACCGTGGCCTCTGTCACACCCCACGCTGACGTGCTGAGCCTTCCACCAGCCATTGTGACGCCACAGGCGCCAGTCGGGCACGGCTTTGTTGGTGCCCGCAGCCGGCGCTCAGAGCTGCTGTAGCCTCTCGAGGAGCAGCAGCACCTCCCGCTCTGGGAGCATTGCGCGCCTGCATCGCCGTCTTGGCAGCTGCAGGACACGAACACTGCGCAGGGCAACCTCGTTTGCCTTGTGCTTCATACCCTGTGCCCGTCCTTATTCTCGTCCCCTTTGTCACCCTCCCCCTAAACCTCGCCCTCGTCCCAATTCCTCATCCCCACTTGGCTCCCGGCAGCCCGCCGGGGGCTTTTGCCCTTCCTGCTGCTGGGAGCTCCAAGCAGGGCCATGCCGTGGCTTCTCAGCAAGAAGCGACGGCAGTCGCCCTCCAGCAGCCCCAGTGGGCAGCCCTGGGCTGCCAGCAGCTCCAGCAGCACCTCCCAGCTCCGGGAGCAGGGGCTGGGCAGGCTGCACCGCGCGGCCGCCCGCGGTGACCTGGGCTGGCTGAGGCGCTGGCGCTGGTACCTGAAGGTCGTCGGCATCGACAGGCCAGACCAGGAGATGCGGTGAGTCCTGGGCCACGCTGATGGCACACCTTGGCTGCTCCTGAGCCAAGCTGCAGTAGTCCTGGGCAGCCCTCCCTTAAGGACAAGGCTTGCAAAGTGACATTTGCCCTGTCAGCTGGGAGAGAGAACTCTTGAGCTTTTCACTGCTCGGAGCTGCCGGCCGGGCTCCAGCGCTGTTGCAAACGTGTGTTGCCCACCTGCCGCTTGGCCGTGGTCTCTCTGCAGGGCTGTTCTGCAGCTGCTCAGCCCTCACCTGTTCTCTTCTGCCCTCTGGCTCATCAGGGCAGGCTTGCAGCAGCAGCAGCAGCAGCAGAAGCAGCAGCAGGAGCAGCAGCAGCAGCAGCAGCAGCATAGTCCGGGCAGGGTCCCCAGGGTGCTGGGTAGAGACACAGCTTGGGCTCATCCTTTGTCTGTCTGGGTTAAGTGTCTGTTTAATTTTTAGGACACCTCTGCATCTGGCTTCAGCCAATGGCCATGCAGATGTCATCAGATATCTGCTAAGAAAGAACAGCCAGCCCAACCTCCCTGACAGCTTCAAGAGAACGGCCCTGATGAAGGTGTGTGGAATGTCTTCTGAGCTTGGAGGTGGGGCTTAGTGCTGGTGTGTTAAAGGGGAGGTGTCTGACAGGATTCCTTGCACTGCAGGGCCATAGAAACACGCCTATTGCAATGGGCACGGCATAGCCTCTGTTAGCTCATCTTTGAAGATGGTCTTCTATGCCAGCACTCAGGAGCTGAGGGAGTTGGGACAGAGGGGGATGGAAAAGTTGGAAGTCTTTCCCTTTTGGTGTATTGTTCCCAGGCAGTCCAGCAGGAGCAGGAGGAATGTGTTGCTGTTCTGCTGGAACACGGTGCCGACCCCAATCTGGCAGACGCTGATGGCAACACTGCCCTTCACCTGGCTGTCCTCTCTAAAAACACAGCTGTAGCAGGGCTGTTACTGGAGCATCATGCCAAGAGTGATGCTCAGAACCAGGTAACCTTGGCATGTGGCTAAAGCTGCTCTTTCCAACAGCTGCAGAGCTTGTCTGTGTCTTTCTAATGGGGATTCTTTCTCCTTTTAGTGGGGATTTACCCCCTTCCAACTTGCAGCCTTCCAACAGCATGAGGAGATTCTGGAGTGCCTCGTGAAAAAAGCAGCTGACAGGCCTGCTCAAACCCAGGGGGAAAGGTGAGGGCTTTGTCAAAACAGCACCCGGGTGTTCTGGGTAGTCTGCAAGTGTGACCCAGACGAGGGGTGTGGCAATGAGCTGGGAAAAAGAAGGAGCAGCCCCGTGGAAGCAGTTCCCCGTGGGACTGGTAAATGCAGGTCTGCACTTGGCTGCTCTCGTACCTCAGGGGCTCTCGTCCTTTGCCCGCTGAGGTCTGCAAGAAAGCCTTGTCTGTGGTGCCCTCCCCCCACACAGACCCAGAGCCACGGGGAAACTTGCCAGGAGCTCAGCAGCGTGGCTGCTCTGCAGACCAGGGGGGTTTAAGGCAAGGCAGAGTTGGTGCGTTAAGTGCTCTGAAGGGAAGCGTTGGGGGAAAGAGAAGCAACACTGTCCCAGGGGGCACGAGGGGCTCTGAGAGCACAGAAGGAGAAAACTTCCTGCCATGGAGATGGTCAGGGGTCGAAGGGCTTGCCCTGGGAGTTTGTGCAGCCACATCTGGGGGGACTTTGAAGAGCAGTGCAAGGAGCCCTGAACAGCATGGCCTGAGCTGGTAGTTGAGGCTGCTTTAGGGAGGCCCCTTGGAAGAGAAATTCTCCAATGCTTCCATGGACTTGGCTTTGCTTTC